TCGAAGATATGTCAACAGAAACTTAACAGACTGAAATGCAAAGGGAAAATAAAATTTAAAAAAAAAATGGAGTAGAATATTCAAGAACTATGGGATAATTACAAAGGTATAACATGTGCATAATGGGAGTACCAAAAGGAGAAGAAAGGAGAAAGGAACAGAAGAAATACTTGAGGCATTAATGGCTGAGAATGTTCCAAAATTAATGACAGTTACCAAATCCACTATTATAGTTGAAGATTTAAATGTATTTCTATTCATAATCGACAGACCCAGTAGGAAAATCTGTAAGGATCTAGATGATCTGAACAGCACCATCAATCATCTAGATCTATTTGACATATAAAATATTTTATCCAACAAAAACAAAATATGCAATTTCCCAAGCTCACATGGAGCATTCACCAAGATATACCACATTCTTGGACATAAACAAGTTTCAAAGAACAGAAATCATACAAAGCATGCTCTCAGACCGCAATGGAAATAAACTAGAAATCAATGACAAAAAGATAGCTGGAAGATCCCAGTACACTTGGAGATTAAACAACATATTTCTAAATAATACATGAGTCAAAGGAGAATACTTGAGAGAAATTTTTAAATATTGTGAACTAAATAAAAATAAAAATACAACTTTCCAAATTTGGTGGATACAATAAGAGTGGCGCTTAGAAGGAAATTTACAACATTGAATGCAAATATTAAAAAAGAAGAAAGATCTAAAATTAATATTCTAATCTCTCACCCTAGAAAACTAGAAAAAGAAGAGCAATATAAACTTAAAGCAAGCAGAAGACAAGAAATAAAAATTAGAGCAGAAATCAATAAAATTGAAAAAAGGAAAACAAAGAAAATCAATGAAACCAATACTACTTCTTTGAGCAATAAGAAAAGAGCAATAAAGTTGACAAACTTCTAGTTAGGACAACAAAGAAAAAAGATATAAGACACAAATTACTAATATAAGAAATGAAAGAGGGGCCATCACTACTGATTCCATGGACATTAAAGGGAAAATAAAAGAATATTATGAAGAACTCCACACCCACCAATTTGATAACTTAGAAAAAATAAACCAATTCCTTGAAAGACACACTCTACTAAAGCTCACACAGGGAGAAATAGTTAATCTATTTTTACAACTGTATAAATAATTAATAAACTTCAAAACAGAGCACCTGGCCTGCTCAGATGGTTTCACTTGTGAATTCTGCAAGACATTTAAGCAACAAATGGCATCCATTCTCTACAATTGTTCCAGAAGATAGAAACGGAGAGACCCCTTCCTAATTCATTCCATGAGTCCAGCATAACCCTAACACCAAAACCAGATAAAGACATTACAGCAAAAGAAAACTACAGACCAACAGAACACTACCAACCAAACTCATGAACACAGATGCAAAAATTCTCAGCAAAATATTAGCGAACAGAATCCAACAATGTATAAAAAGAAGTATATACCACAACCAAGTGGGATTTATTCCAGGTATGGAAGGCTGGTTCAACATTCAAAAATTGATTAATGTGATCCATCACATGAACAAGCTGAAGAAGAAAAAATCTTATGATTATATCAATAGATGCAAAAAAAGCATTTGACAAAATTCAATACCCATTCATGATTTACTCTCAGCAAACTAGGAATAGAGGAATACTTCTTTAACTTAATAGAGAATATCTACAAAAGACCTGCAGCTAACATCATACTTAATGATGAGAAACTAGATGTTTTTCTCCTAAGATTGAGAACAAGGCAAGGATGTTTCCTCTCACTATTTCGATTCAACATAATACTGGAAGTCCTAGCTAATGCAATGAGACAAGATAATAAAAAGATGAACATATTGGAATGAAAGAAATAAAACTATCTTTGCTTGCAGAAGACATGATTGTTTGTGTAGAAAATCACAAAGCATCAACAACAAAAAATCCTGCAACTAATAGGCAATTATAGCAAAGTTGCAGGATATAAGGTTAATATAACATGTAAAATTCAATAACTTTCCTATATACTAGCAATGAACAATTGGAATTTGATATTTATAACATAATACTACTTACATGAGCACCAAAAAATGAAGTACTAAAAAAAATGTATAACATATATGAGGTGCACTATAAAACTTTGATGATAGATTAAAGAAGATCTAAACAAATGAAGAGATATTCCATGTTTATGGGTAGGACAAGTCAATATTATAGGCATGAGCCAAGGAAGTGAAAGAATTGTACAAGGAAAGCTATAAAACATTGCTGAAAGAAATTAAAGACATAACTAAACAGAAACACATTCCATGTTCATGCATTGAAAGACTTAATATTTTTAAGATGCTAATACCACCCAAAATAATCTACAGATTCAAATCTCTAACAAAATCCCAATGATATTTTTTGCAGAAATAGAAAAGCTCATCCTAAAATTCATATAGAGTATCACAGCATCCGAATAGCCCAATCTTGAAAAAGAACAAAGCTATTCTTTTTCTGATTTCAAAACTTACTACAAAGGTACAATAATCAAAACATTGTGTTACTGGCATAAAAACAGACATGCAGACCAATGGGATAGAATAAAGGGTCCAGAAATAAACTCTTACACATATGGTCAAAAAATTTTTGACAAGGGTGCCAAGACTATTGATTGTCTTTTCATGAAATGGTGCTGGGAAAACCGGACGGCCATCTACAAAAGAATGAAGTTGGACTCTTTCCTAACACCATATACAAAAATTAATTCCAAATATATCAGAGACCTCAATGTAAGACCTAAAACTATAAATTTCTTAAAAGAAGACACAGGGCAAAAGCTTCATGACTTTGGATTTGGCAGTGATTCTTGGATATGACACAAAAGGCATAGATGACAAAAGAAAAAAATAGACAAATTGGACTTCATGAAAACGTTAAAAATTTGTGCATCAAAAGATAATATCAACAGAATAAAAGGGCAACCCAGAGAATGGGAGAAAATATTTGCAAATCATATACCAGATAAGTGATTGATATCCAGACTATATAGAGAACTCCTAATACTCAGTGACAGCAACAACAACAACCAACCTGATTCAAAAATGGGCAAAGGACTTGAATAGACATTTCTCCAAAGATGACATACAAATAACTAATATATTGACTAGTTCAACATCACTAATTATTAGAAAAATGAAAATCAAAACTACAGTGAGATACCATTTCCCATCCATCAAGATGGCAACTGCCAAAAAGACAAAAAATAACAAGCGTTGGTGAGAATGTGGAGAGAATGGAACTCTTGTGCTCTGTTGGAAGGGAATGTAAAATGGAAAACAGTATGGCAGTTCCTCAAAAAATAAAAATAGAATTACCATATGATACAGCAATTCCACTTCTGGATATATATTCAAAAGATAGAAAGCAAGTCTTGAAGAGGAATTTGCACACTCATGTTCATGGCAGCATTATTTACGACAGCTAAACCATGAAAGCTACCCAAGGGTCCATCAACAAATGAACAGATAAATAAAATGTGATACATACATACAGTGAAATATTATTCAGCCTTAAAAAGAAAGGAAATGCTGACCTATGCGGCAACATGGTTGATCCATGGGGAGGACAGTATGCTAAGTGAAATAAGCCAGTCACGAAAGACAAGTACTGTGTGATCATTTACATAAGGTAGTTAGAATAGTCAAGATCAGAGAGACAGACAGTAGTAGGTGGCTGCTGGGGGCTGGGGAAAAGGGGAAATGGGGTTTAATTTGCATAAAGTTTCGGTTTACAAGAGAAAAAGTTATGGAGATCGGTTGCACAACAATGTGGATGTACTTAACGCCACTGAACTATATACACACATAAAAATGATTACCATGGCAAACGTTATATTACGTGTATTTCACAATAATAAAAAATAATAAATTAATAAAAAAAAGAAAGCAAGAAATAAGCTATCAAACCACAAAAAGACATGGAAGAACCTTAAACACATATTGCTTGGCAAGAGAAGCCGGTCTGAAAAACCTGCAATACAATATGATTCCAGTTGTACATATACAACATTCAGGAAAAGACAAAATAGAAAGAGAGTAAAGAGATCAGTGGTAGCCAGAGATCAGGGGGGAGGATAAAGGATGACAAGAAGAATGCAGGGGATTCTGGGAGCAGTAGAACTTCCGTATGCTCCTGCAATGACGGATGCGTGAGGGGAGGGGAGTAGACATGATTGGTGGTGAGTAAAGCCGGCTCCTTCCCTTCCTGCCCCACCTGCCACTGCGTGGGAGCAAAGGGAGTTGGGAGGCCTTTTGCAAACAGACCTGGTCCACCTCAATCTGCATGAAATATTGGGCTTCTCTCCATATGATTGCACTTGGAAAGAAACTTTAGCATCTACATGAAAAGTTTGGGAACCAGGGCCCTGCAAGACATGTGCTGTCCGGTTCATGCTCCACGACACTGAGATTCCAGGGCATTAAGGCTTGAGGATGCCTGGATTCCATCATCCTTTCAAGGTTCCCGTGGGGCTGCCTGTCTGGTGTTAAAAGGAGCCCGTCTGGTTGAGAACTGCGGTGACCTGAGCGTGATGGAGCGAGCACAGGCAAAGCCTTAGGGACTAGCTTAGCCACCCTGGCCTCCTGGCCTCCGCCGAGGGGCAGGCCCGGGATCTCTTCACTCCACTATGACCTCAGCTTCCTTTTTTCCTTCCCTACAAACCATTTTTCCGTTTTCCATTTCAAAGAAATCAGAGCCCTTAATAGTGCAGTGAGGTCACTTCCTACACTTTGTTGGACACAACACATTTCCTTCTGCTTTTGCTCCAAGAGGTCTGAGCGAAAGATAGAAATTGCACCGCTTCCTTCTCTCGTTATCTGGAAATCACCCCAGGATCTTGTGCTTACTCAGCACCTTTGAGGTCTTACTTCATCCTTCTCCACTGTGAGCCCGCCCAGGCTCTCTGCTCGCTATAAAAGGCAGGCAGAGCTGCCACAGGAGCAGAGGGACTGAGACCCACCCAGACCCAGAAACCTCCCACCCTCAGGCTGAAGCTGCCCCCCGCCCTCCAGCATGCAGGTCTCCGCAGCACTCCTGGGGCTGCTGCTGGCAGCAGCCACCTTCAGCCCCCAGGGCCTTGCTCAGCCAGGTAAGGGCGCTCCTTCCTAAGCGCTAACACTGTAACTACCACAGGTACTCGCGTCCCAGCACAAGCCATCCCGGACTTGCTGTGTCATCTGCGTTTTACAGGTGGAGAAAGGGAGACCAAGAGAGGGGTTAGGAAGAGCCGTGATGTCACAGCTAGTCAGGGCCAGAGCCAGAACCAAGGACCCAGGCCACGGAGGCCAGGCCCCACCAGCCTTCCCGACCCCAGCTTTGGGCAAAGACGCAGTACAGCCACTGCAGCCACAGCCCTCCCGTCATTCTGGGAAGTGGAGGACACCTTGTTGTGCGTGTGAAGGACGTTGCAGGCAGCAGTGGAGAGGAAGGGACTACTGCTTGAAGTTTCGAGTTTTGGTTACGGTCCCGTGTAGCTTCCAGAATAGCAGCTGTGTTAGGAGGATAAGTCCCCAGAGGAATCTCAGCACATGACATAGGTTGGCTCTGAATCTCATGGGGAAAAACAGCTGGGAAGCAAAGTCTTAGAACTTACTTTCCCAGTGTCAGAAGTTTGGGGTTAGTAGACAAGTATTAGCCTCGTCGCTCAGGATTTTTCCATACCCAGTCAACAATAAGGGGCCCCATAATTCAACAGAGGGAACTGATGCACAGGTAACGTTTAATCTCTGGGATCCGGACTGAGGCGGTGAACTTGGGATGGCGATACCTAGGTCTTCTCCTACCTTCTCCTCCTCCTCCTCTTGCAAATGCACATTTACAGTGTACCCTAACTGTTGTGTTCTTTGCACAATTTCTTTCAGATTCCGTTTCCATTCCCATCACCTGCTGCTTTAATATGGTCAGTAGGAAAATCTCCATCCAGAGGCTGGAGAGCTACACCACAGTCACCAACATCAAGTGTCCCCAGGAAGCTGTGATGTGAGTGGATGATCCTGGCATTACCCCCAGTCGAAAGTTCTGAGGGACAAGGGAGAGAGGACTCATATCCAAAGGAGTCAGATAAGGATGTACCATTGACCCAAAGGGCCCCTTTACCCCAGAGGGAAACTGAGCCCACGAGAAGGAGTCCACAATCACTCCAGGTTCCCTTCCAGATGCTTGGTGAGATTGTCCCCATACCTTTAGCCAGATGGGGGGCTTCACCTGGACAGCAAGAGCAGAGCTTCCTCCCAAGACCTCTTGCTGCCAGCCTTACCTTCCTCCTCTCCTGGCCCCAGGCCCTGCACCCAGGAAGCAAGAGCTGATTCAGTCTAGGGGCTAACCGGCTACCCCCTGGGTAGGGCCCTCAAGGCAGTCCTTCTCACTGTGCCCCTCTCCCCACAGCTTCAAGACCAAACTGGGCAAGGAGGTCTGTGCCGACCCCAAGGAGAAGTGGGTCCAGGATGCCGTGAAGCGTCTGGACCAAAAGTCCCAAACCCCGAAGCTTTGAACTTTCTTCACACCTGGACTGAGAGATCAAGCCAGAAGAAAACCTTATTTATTTTCCCCCAACCTTCCCCAGATGCAGTGTGACATTATTTTATTATAATTTCCAAACAGAGGCACTTTGTTCAATAATTTAATGCACAATATTTCTTAAATAATATTTAATAATATTTAAGATAGTGATGCTTTGACTTTAACTGCCATAAATCCTAGTGAATGTAAAATACAAAATCCTGGTGATGTGTATGTGTGTATTTTTTTTTATGAGCTCAGTTAAGTTCATGGCAAAGTGTCATTGTTCTCCTCCCTACCTGCCTGTGGTATTGTGAGGTCCTTGCATGGATCGTCTGGGTGAAACACCTCTGTATTCTCAGGGAATCGCTGCTCCTTCAAGTCAAATGTGTGCTCTGTACTGCTGCTGTTGAACTTAATGTTACAGTATATGACTATGTAATTTTCAAAGGAAAAAATACACATAATTTTAAACCACTTAGTCTTATTTTTCATGGGGTAACGTTTAGCTGGGAGGGAGAAAATGGCAGCAGTGGGTGGCAGTTTGGGGCATACAGAGCCACCCCCCAGGAATGCCTTTTGGCTGGGCTAGCCTTGATCCAAGGTTCAGGGAGAACTTGGCAGGACAATGTACCAGCTCTTTGGCTCTAGCTGTTATCATCAGCCCTTATTCACTGGGCTCTCTCTTCCCCTTTCTCACATACCTAGCTTTGCCCAAAGCCTCTCTCCTGATTTCTTGCAACAGACTTCAAACTTTTCTCCATAACCCCAGGTTTTCTCCATCTAATTAATTCTCAGACCCAACATAATACCCCAGGAGTGAACCTGGACATAAGAGGAAACTTGGTGTCGACTAGTTAAGGTCCACTCAGGCTTTTCACTGAAGGTGAGCATCCAACACGACTGGTCTTAAAGGACTGGTGTGGGAGAGACAGCAAAGAGAGAGGTTCTTCAGAGCAGCTGCAGGAGGGAAAGGAGATGAAGACTCAGATTGTTGATTTTAAGCTTTTCTTTATAATACAGCCATTTAATTTCATGAGTTTTTTGTTTTTGTTTTTTTTTTTTTTTTTGAGACAGAGTCTCACTGTGTTGCCTGGGCTAGAGTGAGTGCGCTGGCGTTAGCCTAGCTCACAGCAACCTCAAACTCCTGGGCTCAAGCAATCCTTCTGCCTCAGCCTCCCGAGTAGCTGGGACTACAGGCATGCACCACCATGCCTGGCTAATTTTTTCTATATATTTTTAATTGTCTGATTAATTTCTTTCTATTTTTTTAGTAGAGACGGGGTCTTGCTCTTGCTCGGGCTGGTCTTGAACTCCTGAGCTCAAACAATCCGCCCGCCTCGGCCTCCCAGAGCACTAGGATTACAGGCGTGAGCCACTACACCCGGCCTCATGAGTCTTTTAAATACAGATTTTGTTGTATCCTGTAAATTTTAATATGACACATTTTATCATCATTTATTTCAAAATATATTCTAATTTCTGTTGTGAATGCTTCTTTAATCTATGGGTTATACAGATGAACATGGCTAAATATTTAAGCTTTGAGGTATTAAAAAAAGTAATAACTTTGTTATTGGCGTTAATTTAATTCCACAGTGGTTAAAGGGCACAGTCTATATATTTTCAAACCTTTTATATTTGTCAAGACTTACTTTGTAGTCCAGCATATTATCAATTCGATAAATGTTTTATGTGTATTTGAAAAAATGTATATTCTGAAACCATTGGGTATAGAGATTTCGACTAGGTAACTTTCGTTCATATTGTTGTTCTAATCTAATGACGTTTTCAGAAAAAAACAAAAGCTGATTCCATTTGTTACCAGAATAACAATATTTCCTTATGAGAAAAATCTAAAGGCTTAAAGGAAATTATCCCAATGGGTACACAGATCTTCAGGAAGTGAAGAAGACTATCATAAATGCTCAGGAACAAGGCAAAAATGTCCAGTATCCCCCATTTCTTTTCAACATTGTTCTCAAGGTTCTAGTCAGTGGAATAAGATAAGAAAAAAGAAATAGAGACATAAAGATTAAAAAGAAAGAGCTTAAAATATCATACACAGATGGCATGATTATATATATACAGAAAACATAAGGAAGTCTATGAAAACTACTAGAACTAATAAATGAATTTCTCAAGATCCCAGGAATATAAGCTAATTTACAAAAATTAGTTGAATTCGTCTGGGCGCGGTGGCTCATGCCTGTAATCCTAGCACTCTGGGAGGCTGAGGCAGGTGGATTGTTTGAGCTCAGGAGTTCAAGACCAGCCTGAGCAAGAGCAAGACCCCATCTCTACTAAAAAAAATAGAAAGAAATTATCTGGACAACTAAAAA